GCATCTGAAAGGCAGTGATTGTATCTTCATCTCTCATTCAACAGATATTTTCTGAGTGCCTTCTGTGTGCCAGGCACTGGTTTAGGAACTGGAAAGTTGGACGTGAATGACACTGACAAAATCTCTCCCTCACACAGCTTGTTATATTTGTATTTCCCAATGCCTACCATAGTGTATTAGTTATCTACTGCTGCGTAACAAATGACCCCAAACCTTAGCAGCTTAAAACAAGAAAATTTGTTATCTCACTCCGTTTCTGAGGAAGCCATGGATGTGCAAGGAAATCCAAGATTTTATTTATTTTTTCAGATCCAAAATTCTGCTCAGAAAATATGTGTATACATATAGTCCAATCTGGCAGAAATCTAGGAGCAGCTTAGATGGGTTGTTCTGGCTCAGGGTCTCTCGTGAGACTGCTGTCAAGATCTCAGCCAGGGTGTAGTTATCTGAAGGCTTGATTTGGCTGGAGGACCTGCTTCCAGACTCACTCACGTGGCTGTTGGCTGAAGGCCTCTGTTCCTTACCGTGTAGACTCTCCATAGTGTATTCATGACATACTGGCTGGCTTCCCCACAAATGAATATTTCAAGAGAGAGAAAGAGTAAGCAAGAAGGAAGCTGCAGTGTCTTTTGTCTCATCTCAGAAGTGACCCACCATCACTTCTGCCATAATCTACTGGTCACACAAGCCAATCCTGGTACAATGCAGAAGGAGACTATACAAGGGGATGGGATCATCTGGGGCCATCTGGAAGGCTGGCTACCACAGTAGGACAGTGGGTGTTCAATAAAAGTCTGTTAGAGTTTTTACCCCAACAATCTATAAGTCAAAACCTTTACTGAGACTTCCCTGGTGGTCCAGTGGTTAAGAATCTGCCCTCCACTGCAGGGGACATGGGTTCGATCCCTGGTTGGAGAACTAAGATCCCACATGCTTCGGGGCAACTGAGCCCGTGCGCTCTAGAGCCCACGCCACAACTAAAGAGGAGCCTGACTGCTGCAACAAAGATCCCTCAACTAAGACACAATGCAGCCAAATAAATAATTTTTTAAAAAACCTTTACTTTGTTAAAATAGACTAACTTTTAGAGCAGTTTTAGGTTTACAACAAAATTAAGTGGAAATTACAGAGAGTCTCCATGTACCCCCTGCCCCACACGTGCACAGCTTCCCTTATAATCAACATCCCCCACCAGGGAGGTGCATTTGTTACAACTGATGAACCTACACTGACATGTCATTATCGTGCAAAGTCCGTAGTTTACGTTAGGGTTCACTCTTGGTGTTGAGCATTGTATGGGCTTAGACAAATGTATAATGACATGTATCCATCATTACAGTATCATACAGAGCAGTTTTACCTCCCTGAAAGTCCTCCGTGCTCCACCTGTTCATCCCTCCCCACTCCCAACCCCTGGCAACCACTGATCTTATTACTGTCCTCATAGTTTTGCCTTTTCCAGAATGTCATAAATCTGGAATCATACAGTAAGTAGCTTTTTCAGATTGGTGTCTTTTACTTACTAATCGCCACTTAAGCTTCCTCCATGTCTTTTCATGGCTTGATGGCTCATTTCTTTTACTTTTTTTAAAAAATAAATGAGCATACTGTTTTTACTGATTGCATTGTTTTGGAGTGTTTTCAATCTTCCAACAAGCTTAAATAATTTGAATGGTCTACTCAGCTAACATGCTGCTGCTATGTTATATTAAAAAGTCAATAAATGTGTTTTGGGCAGACTTAGTAACTTGTCTTGCCCCTAAACTGTCTTCTTTCCCTTACAATCATATTCTCTAGCCATCTTGGCAGAAACATTCAATGAAGTTCCGCTTGTGGAACGGAAGTTCACTGAATGTTTCTGGAAAATCTCTATTTGAAACCCTTTTTATGTTCTATCTAGAATGGATTTTGTGTAATGCGCAAGGTAATTGAGTCTAGCTAAAAGGACTGAGCTCTCTCAGAGGAAGGTCTATGTTGTGTGTGTAAGTTGATGAAGGGACCTGTCACCAGGGGTGCTTGCTATTAGACAGAAGCCTCAGGTAGAGGAGAAGGGAACTACTCTTTTTTGATGGGGAAAAAATAGAACTATACCATTGCAGTTCGCCCCACTCTTACAATGAGCTGGCAATACACGTGCAAGCAACAGGGCAAAATGCACCTTAGCAGTCTTCTTGGCTGTGTGATTTTCCTCCCCCATTCTGCCAAATATTGACAGTTAGTACAGACTTGACAGTAAAGGGATGATATTCTAATTAGTGGGAGTAAAGGAAAAGTAGCCCTTGCTCTTGTGACTGATTGGTTTAGGAAAATGTTTTCATTCCTAGAGGAAGGAAGGGGTCCTGATTGCTTTGTTTTCCTCCCCAAGGTGAAAAATTTCAAACTGAATGACAATTAGCACTAATCTAGCACTTTATAAATCGTTGAGTAGCCTCACTTGTCAACCCGTGAATGTGTGTTGTTTGCGCTCAATCCTTTACTGTATTAATGTTCAGCTTACTAAACAGACTGCCTCGAGCTCAGGCATAGTGTTAATATAATGTCTTGTTGTGTCTCAATAAAAGAGTTACGTGCAAAAAATTATATCAACATCTTTTTGAGAGAACGATTTCTTTTTGTAATCAACAAGATACAGAACATTTCAGTGAAACTGGAACAGTTAACAGCATATGGTTGAACTTAATTAAACCTTCAAGGGAAATAAGAAGAGGGTCAAACAAAAGCAACAAAAGAAGAAGCCCAAGATGGATTGGGGATAAACATAAGGACAACAGCATCTCAGCCTGGGTACCTTCTGACCTCTCCCAGTAGCTAGGCTGCCATTATTCTCATCATTATGTCAAGAAAAACAGGGATGAGGAGAGCTGGAACAACCATTGCAATAAAGATACTAATATTTGTATAATACACTACGCTATGCCTACCGCTTTGACTCTCGAGGGAAAAAAACTTTTCTCTAAGAGTTGCAACCCGCGAGCCAGCGGCTCTCATGAGAAAAAAAAAAAAAAAAAAAAAAAAGCTACAAGAAGCTTGCGTATTTAGGAGCAAAACAGGTTATAGATCCTACTGTGTGGAAAGAGATAGAAAATTCTGGAAAAGAAGATTTAGGGTGAGTTAGAAAGATGCGCAGGCCTTTGTGGAAAATCAGGTTAAGTCTAGAAAATTTGTTAACATTTAAGTCTTGATGAGAATGGTAACTGAATTTGTATTTCTCGAGAACTTGTTCCAAATCGTACCCGATGTTTTACGGAAATATCGTATAATAGTCCTACTTAGCTGTTTTAACAACAGCATTTTCAATAAAATGGAGTAAATGCGTGGGAAAATGTTCCTCACTGAACAATACCTCTGGAGAGCCAGGGCACCAGCGTGGTCACCGCCATTTCCCTTGTGGTCACCAAACCTCCTGAAGGCCGTGCAGGTGGCAGTGTTACCTGAGAGGTGATAAGGAGCCCCCGAAGCACCTCAAAGGTTTTCTGACTCTGAATTATTTCATCATCATTATTTCATTATTTCATTTTCCGGTTCCCACCCATACCTCTATGCGCGATGTTCTCCAGTTGGCAATACTCTCCCTTGCAGGGGGTGGAGAATGTGCATAATAGGGACATGTGTACTTTGAAAAAAAAAGGCCCTCCATAGATTCCTTTTTTAAAAAATTAATTAATTAATTAATTTTTTTGTCTGTGTTGGGTCCTCGTTGCTGCGTGCGGGCTTTCTCTAGTTGCGGCGAGCGGGGGCTACTCTTCGCTGCGGCGCGCGGGCTTCTCATTGCGGTGGCTTCTCTTGCTGTGGAGCACGGGCTCTAGGCTCATGTGGGCTCAGTAGTTGTGACGCACGGGCTTCGTTGCTCTGCGGCATGGGGGATCTTCCCAGACCAGGGCTTGAACCCATCTCTCCTGCATTGGCAGGCGGATTCTTAACCACTGTGCCACTAGAGAAGTCCCCCCTCCATAGATTCTTACCTGCCGTGCTGGGGGTCAGGGTGCGACGGCATCCCTTCCTCTCCATTGTCAGCTGACAGAGCAGGTGGAGGTTGGTGAGCTCTGCACCGGCCATCTGAAGGCTGCCTCGAAGGAGAAGTCCAGTGGAAGGAGGACAGAGAGTCAGGGCACCTGGGTCCTCACCCAGGGTTTGTCACTAACATTTGATGTCCTTCATCTGTAAACAGAAGGGGTTGTACTAGACAGTCCATAAGTTCCATTAGACCTCTGATATTTTGCTGTTTCATTTTGGCCAGAACCTGGTGATCGTTGTGTAGTTTCACAGGATGAAGTTAGGTACTATGTTTTCCTGTAAATCTTAACCCGAGGTTGTAAACTGGTGGTTGGATCCAGCATGTAAATGTGTTTTGTTTTGTTTACGCTCCCTAGTGTTTTTTTTTGTTTTTTTTCTCTAATTAGTTGTCAACACTTAAAAAAAGGGAGATTTCTCCAAATCACTTCTGACTTGTCTTGAAGCCAGAAGTGGTTTGGAGAAGTGATTTTTGGATCTGCCAACGCCCGGCCTTTCTTCCTGCATGGCAGCCTCTTCCAGACTGAGCATGCACTGTTGGGTTCCCCAGGCCCACCTGGCCCACATCCCTTCCAGGCCACTGTTAGAAGCTGGAGTTTGCAACCTCTTTCTAAAATTCTCTCCATCTTCTCCTGATCACATGGGACAGTAACACTTTCTAAAGGACACATATTCCAGCCTATGTGAACTTTCTCTGTGGCTTGGACTGCCTCTAGGAGGTGGGTTTGCGTGGCCTCGTGAGCTGTGGGCATGCCTGTCTGGCTAGTTCGTGAGCACAGAGGATGGGAGGAGAGATAGAAGCAGAAAAGCTTCTCACGATTCAGAAAAGCTTCCCACCATTCCAGCTGCATTACAGATGTGCAGAAGTTGTGTGAGAGGTTCCATGTGAACATCTGCATGCATCAGGGAGAGATGAGACCAAAAGAGAAAAAGGGCTTTGGGGATTTTCAAATGTCTTTTTTTCTCTTCTTCTTACCCTTATTGTGTAGGTCCGTGCCACAAGGGACGGGCGGGTGGCTGCTGCACCCAGCTGGGCTCCCTGTCGGCCCTGAAGCATGCAGTCCTTGGGCTCTACCTGCTGGTCTTCCTGATTCTCGTGGGCATCTTCATCTTAGCAGGTAAGAGCATCCTTTCCCATCCTGGCCTTTAAGGAGGTGAACAAGAAGCGAGAGCAGATGGGATAACTGGGGAGCTGGAGCTCTTCTTTCCCACAGTCAGGAACTCAAACACTGCTTTTCTCACCATGGATACCACAGAGGAGGAAGCTGGCTGGTCTTTCCAACCAGGCATGAGTCTGAGCAACATTGCCTGCTCTGTGTGGGGTGAGGAGCTGGCAGGGGCTATATGAGCATGGGAAATCTCTTGAGAAGAGACCTAGCTGCTCCAGGTGGCTTCTGCCTTGTCCTGCCTCATAGTGTGATGCTGGGCATTACACTGGGCCTCCCTAGAGCTCTGCACTATGGTTCATACTGAGCAGGCTGGGCCCCCTGTCCTGGGATGTGATGAAAATTGTTACGAGACACTTTGTTGCTGAGGCTAATCAGGGTCATGGTAAACCTGCTGCCCCTTTGTGATTACTGGGGGTGGGATGAGTTTGCCCCACGTCAGCCGGGCTCTTCTCTCCAGTTTCTGTCTGTAGAACAGGCTAGTGACAGGCTGGACTTTGGACCATGTCCTCTAGCCCAGAAGCAGAGCTCATGGACCCAGGAAGGGATCAGATGGAAGATCCCATGCTTTGATCAGCCCAGCTCACACACAGGTCAGACCACTGTGATGGAGATGGTGGAGCAGATAGGGACAGAGACCGTGGTGGTCTCTCCTGACTCCCACCCAGAGGGAGAGAGGCTCAATTCCCACCTACCTCTATGGAGGTATATAAGACTTGACAAAGTGAGGCCAAGAGATCAGCATCACTTATCTTACATGAGTGCCTACTTTGTGCCAGGTTCCATGCTAGGATTGAAGACACTGCTAAATAAGACCCAGGGGCTCCCCTCCGGGAGCTTCCAGTCTAGGGGAGGAGGTGGGAACACAGAGGTAGAGCCCTGTCTCAAGGCAGAATGCTACAGGGACTATGATGGGGCCTTTAATGTTGACACACACGTGCTGTGGTGACCCAGAGGAGATGCACACAGAGCAAGTGTGGGTGTTGCATGGAGGGGCCGGGGTGGGGTATGGGGAATGTAGTCAGAGAAAGGCTGCTGGCCAGACAGAGCTGACTTGGAGTGCAGAGGGTGGGGTCCTTGACTTAGCTCTTAATTCCTGCCCTTAACTCTAGTAATATGGAGGCTAAGCCCGTGCGGATGACCCCTCACTAGAAATCCCTGGTCTCGTGTCACTTTCTGTCAAGTGAGACTAGTCACTTGGGCCCGGTGATGGGATATTCAGTGCTGCCTTTGCCCTCAGATTCCCACACTCGGAGCAAAGGGCATCACCAGGGGTGGTGTCTGTCCCATCAACCATTGACCTGGCTTGGGGGGCAGCCAGCAGCAACAATGAGAGAAACTAATGATTCGTCCAAGGGATGATGTCCAGCCAGAGGATTTTTTGAACATGTTCTTGGGCTGCTCAGTGAGAGATTGGGATCTGGGTTTTGTGCGCTTGGCAGCCACGACCATAACAAATTTACAAAATTTTTGGAAAGTGTTTCGGGCCGGCAGGAAAGCTGGGCTATGGTAGTACAACTACTCTGCTGAACAAGAATTTTTAGGTGACAGAAGAGGGTCTGAAGGAGAGAGCCAGGCTGGTGGGGACCCTGGAGCAGGTCTCTGGAGGCCTGGAAGGCCTGGAAGGCCATCATCTCTTGGGTTTCAGGGGAATGAAAGTTCTCTTCCGGGGTCTGAAGGGCTGCCATGTGGAAAAGGATGGACATATTCTGTGTGGTCTCAGAGGGTAGAACTAACTGAATGGGTGGATTTTGTGAAGAGACAAATTCCCATTCAAAATAGAGGAGACTTTCTAACAAGAAGTGGTACCCAGCACAATGCGGAGAGGCTTTTCTCCGGGCTTGGAGGTTGAATGGGATTTATGATGATGTTCTGGAAGTTTCAGAAAGGAGGGTGGAGCATGGTTTCCTAATCTAATGGAAACATTGCCTTGCTTCCTGTTATTCCATGTGGAAATCTGGGGAGGATTTTGATCATCATAATTACCTTTGAACCTGAAGTTTATGAGTACCAGATTGCCTGTGTGGAATGAAAATTTGGGATGGATTGGAACTGATCTGATGAAACAGAGCATCAGACTTTATCTCTTGGCTCTGTGGCCTGGCCACTGTCACCTTCCCAGTTTCTTGTCCGGAAAATCCTGTTGGCCTCTGGGAGAGGTTTGAGGAGGGTAGCCAATGAAAAACTATCGTCACCAGCTACCCCTTCCCTAGGGAGGGGACTTAGGAATGTGGTGGATGAGTCCAGGGTTCTTCGAAGAGGCCCTGCCTGACGTTGGGTAGGACGTTTCTTCAGATTACCCTGATTGAAGGCCTCCAGGGATGCTCCTTTTCAAAAACACCAAGATGGTGGGGAGATGCATGGTTCAGTGTAAACCAGAGCTAGCCTGGCCTTTTCTTAGGTGTCCTGCTGTGGCTGCTTCCTCATTTGGGGCAGAACTTGCTCTCCAGTGCCCTACTGAGGTCACCTTTCATAGGAGGTACTATGGTCTGAATTGTGTCCCCTCCAAAATTTATATATGAAGCTCTAACCCACAGTGTGATGGTATTTGGAGGTGGGGCCCTAGGGAGCTAATTAGGTCATGAGGGTGGGGCCCTTATGATGGGGTTAGTGGCCACACAAGAAGAGGGGAGAGAGAGACAGAGAGAGAGAGAGAGAGAGAGATCTCTGCCATGTAAGGACACAGGGAGAAGGGGCCATCTGAAGCCAGGAGGAGAGTCCTCACCAACAACCAAATCTGCCTTCACTTTGATCTTGGACTTCCCAGCCTCTACAACTGCGACAAATAAATTTCTGTTGTTTAAGCCACCCGGCCTATGGTATTTGGAGGTGGGGCACTAGGGAGCTAATTAGGTCATGAGGGTGGGGCCTTGTTATAGCAGCCCTAGCTAAGACAAGAGGAGTTCTGTATGAACCCCTCTTAGACTTCAAAACCTCCTCGTTGACACAAAGCTCATACATCCGACAATTGGATGACAAAATTAACCACTGCAACCAAGTGCCATGTCTGAATACCTGGTTGGTAACATCTGATTGAAGTACAGATGCCTGCTCTTACTTCAATATTACCAAATTATAGTCTCACTGCATAAAACAATTACTCATAAAATTTCTCATGGGATTTCTCTTGATTCTGTTCTCTATCCAAGTATTCAAAATAAAAGACAAATACTGTATCTGTGTTTATGCAGCATCTCAGCATCCCCTCTCAGGTTAATCCAGCCATTGCCCAAACTATGTACTCATTTGGGCTTTCTACCCGCCACCTAACTCTCCGTCCCTGACCAGCATCCTCTTGGGAGATTTCCTCTGATATTCCCACACCATCACCGGGTTCTATGCCCACAGTCTTCCATCATCTCCCAAGAAGGTGGCATCGGTCCATTCTTCCCAAATTCCTCTAAGCCTTTCTATGTCTTCAACCCATTTTACCTGGACTGATGGTTTCCTATTATGTTTTTGTTCTGTTCCAGTGTTCATTTTGGGACAGTAAAGACTCTCAGGCTTAAGTTCATGAACAAGAGAATTGAGATTGGATGGTCATGTGGTCAGGAGGTCCTCCATCTAGCGCTTTATGAAAGATGTCCTCTGTGATGGTGTTCAAGGGTTATAGGAGGTTCAACCTTATCCGTGACTATTGTGGGACATCACTGTGGTGACAAAGGGTGGTCATCAGGAACTACCTCTTCCTCCCCTTGCCTGTCATGGCTCCATTGAAGAATTTGAACTCCCACTGTGACATGAAACAGCAGAAAGGGGACGTGTCAACATCTGGGGATCTAATTTGGTGGAAAGCTGGAGCATTACAGCAATCCAGACTATAGAGTTGGACAAGGGAGAGCTCCTGGTGAACTAAGGGCTCCTATCATGCCTTAATTTGATCCTTTCTTAATAGCAGTCAGCCATTGCCATCAACATCCTCAATAAGTACTTAACTTGTGCATGAGTGCTTAGTGGGTTTAGGACAACAGAACAAGCCCTGGTGTCTTAGTCTGTTCAGGCTGCTATGACAAACTACCACAGACTGGGTGGCTTAAACAACAAGTATTTATTTCTCACAATTCTGGAGGCTGGGAAGTCTGAGATCAAGGCACTGGCAGACTCCATGTCTGGTGAGAGCCCACTTCTGGTTCATAGATGGCTGTCATTTTGCTGTGTCCTCACATGGGAGGAAGGGCTAAGGATTTCTCAGGGGTCTCTTTTATAAAGGCACTAATCCCATCCTGAGGACCCCACCCTCATGACTTAATTATCTCCCCAAGGCCCCACCTCCTACTACCATCCCTTTGGGGGTTAGGATTTCAACATATGAATTTGGGAGGAACAAAAACATTCAGTCTATAGCTACGGAATAAAAGATGTAATTCCTGTTCTGGGAGGATTTAAAATCGTAACACACGTACACATTAGGACAGTGTGATGTAGCTAAGGCTCCGTGCCAAATTCTTCAAAGGAGAACCTGATTCTCAGGAGCTGGAGGGGTTGGGGCAGCCTCAGCCTGGGAGAGCTGAACACCAAGTGACCCAAATGTTTAAATTGAGCACCCCTTTTTAGATCACGTTGTTTCAAGGAGGTCTGTCGCCAACTTTGCAATCTGGGAACAGCATGCTCAGAGCCCACACCCCTTGATACGGCAGATTACTGATACTATCGTGCATCTTGGAATTTAGAGCGTGATGCCCTCAGCCTTTTCTGGGACGCTCTGTCAGAAACAGCACATGCGATTTCATCCTGTGCTTATTGTGAGGGTGCCCTAGAGGACATTGTTTGTTGTTACATAACGTCAACTAAGAGGACCCGTGGAGAAAGTATTTTCTGTCTTAGTCTCAGAAGGAGAAATACTGTTCCTGAGGAATTAGTTTGTTTTCACCTGAAGGAGACTGTGGATCTGAAAGTCATTAAAATCACTTTTGGGGCGGTAGTTAATGCAAGCTGAGAGCGAGTTGTCATCC